ACCTATGACTTTTAAATATAAATATTTTCCCTTTGCTGTCTGCATTGTAAGTCCCTACCAGCAATGGAGAAGCAGGAATTCTCTGAGGCTTCAGCTGTTGCAAGCACATGCCAGTTGAATGGGCAGTGCCCAACAGCGCCTTCCGTGCATGGCTCTCGATGGTACGAGGCGCAGGGTGCCGGGGACTCGGGGCAAGCTGATGTCAGTCCTGCTTCCCCACCAGCTTCCGGAGACTTGGGGACACTTCCTCGCCTCACGCTGAGCCTCAGTTTCCCTGTCTGGACGATGAGGAGGCTCTGTGGACCCTACCCACTGGTGCCCTGTGATGACACGAGCCCATGTCACTGCGCTCGGCCGCCTGCAGAGGGAGGCTGAGGCTCGGGGGCCGTCAGGCCTCCTGTGTTACTGGTTCTGCTTGTTTCTGATTACAAGAGTGCAGCCCGTGCCTTGTGGATGAGCTAGGACAGTGGTCGGCAAACTGCGGCTCGAGAGCCACATGCGGCTCTTTGGCCCCTTGAGTGTGACTCTTCCACAAAATACCACGTGCGGGCGCGCACGTACAGTGCGATTGAAACTTCGTGGCCCATGCGCAGAAGTCGGTATTTTGTGAAAGAGCCACACTCAAGGGGCCAAAGAGCCGCATGTGGCTCGCAAGCCACAGTTTGCCAACCACTGAGCTAGGAGACAGTGAAAAAAGTCTAAAGGAGAGAATGAGAAGTACCCTTGGTCCCAGCACACAGAGCTGCCCCCTGGCGCTGACCAGACTGGGCATCTCGAAGGGACGTCCTGGCCTGGGACTGAGTGGAGTTAGCCCTCCAGGTGTCCTGGGGAGTCCACAGGTGCTCGTGTGGGTCACAGCAGAGCAGGCCCAGGAGGTCCAGACCGGTGGGACCCAGTGGACCCGTCTCTGCCTCGTGGGTGCTCTGGACCACGGCCTGGCTGCCCGCTGCAGGCCCAGCGTAGGCAGGAGGAGGATGGGAGGTAAGGCTGAGGCCAGGCTGCGGGCCACCAATGCCGGTGGCGTCCACCCCAGCCTCCCCGTGTCGCCCTCTTTCCAGACGGGCCCATCCAGCCCTGACCTCGAGGCCAGCCCTGCCTCCATGGGAAATCTCCTGAATGATATCCCACCCAGACGTGCCAGCACCGTGCCAGGCCTGTGCTGAGTGGGGAGGAAACGAGAGGTGCCCGGGGCACAGGGGCACCGGCCAGCTCAGCCGTATGCCCTCCATGACCGGCCCTCACTCCCCGGCGTGCCCTCGGCCCTCCCAGGAGAGCCAGACGGAACCTGCGGTGAAAGCAGTGCTCCTCGGAGGCCCACATGGGTCGCTTCCCACTGTCATGGCCCTGGGGGGTCTGTCAGCAGACACACGGAGCACCTGCTGCTGGCGGGGGAGAGCCCCTTGCAGCCCCTCGCTGGACGGCAGCCCTGGCCCCAGGGAAACCCCTTCCTGTGGGTGCAGCCCCGGTCCTGCCCTCTGGGCCTCAGTGGTCCAGCCTGGGAATGGGGCTCACGGAACCTCCTGCAAGGGGAGGTGTCCCCACTGGCCCAGAGATGCTGGCCTGGCCCTGGGGTTGGCGCCTCACTCCCAGGACGGGGCCCTCGGCTCGGTGCAGGGGCACAGCCCCGGGTCTCTGACAGCCCCGGTTGCCCTCTGGGCCTCAGTGGTCCAGCCTGGGAATGGGGCTCACGGAACCTCCTGCAAGGGGAGGTGTCCCCACTGGCCCAGAGATGCTGGCCTGGCCCTGGGGTTGGCGCCTCACTCCCAGGACGGGGCCCCCGGCTCGGTGCAGGGGC